TTTTGATGAGGCCTGGAAGAGTCAGAGAGAAGGCTGATGGCACGGGGACGATGGGACAGGCACAGTGCGGTCCCAGGCACACGACAGGAGTCTCCTGGCCAATCTGAGCCCCCACCCCCACCCACGCGACACACGGCCCGCGCCTTGCAATGCCACTGCCTTCGCTGCTTCCTGTCTCTTGCAGACCCTGGACATCCCTCTGACCCCCCCCCAAAGCCAAGGAGGCAGCAGGACCAGCAAATCCCGGGGGTCCCATGTCAGGGACCCAGCAACTGCGCCAAGAGGGGAAGTGACGCAAAGAGGCTCGGGTGTCAGAGCCAGATCCCGGGCCACGCGTCCTGTCCCGAGGCTGGAGGCCCTGCCCTGGGTTGGGGGGGGGGGCGGTTCCGCTAGGTTGTGCGGGCAGTTGGCATCGGCCTCCCACCAGCTACCCGAGAGGCCGCCACCGTCTTGTCCCCGCGGTCACTGCCAGCACCACCTCTGTGACGCGCCGCCGGCCCACGCGGGCCGATGAGGAAGGGACGCGGCTGTGAGGTCTGTGCCGGGGTCTCAGGTGACGAGGACAGGGGCGTCGGGGCGCCCCCGGGCTCCAGCACACGCCGCTCTGGTGCCCCGTGCTCTCTCTCCTCCTGGCCCAGCTTCCCAGCTCTCAGTGGCACACACAGGCCTCCCCTTTTGGACAGAAGCTACTTCTGGAACCCCACAGTGTCAAAAAGCCTTCTCGTTGTATTTTCCAATATTTATGACGTGATGAAAGGGAATCGGATCTCTGATCAAGGGCTTAGGTCAAACCAACCATAGGAAAGTGAATTCTAGACTACTGAAGCCAGAAGAACATTTAGAGACCATCCACATCAGTGGTTTGCAACCAGAGGCAATGCTCCCACCCCGGGGGGTCAGGTGGCAGCGGCCAGAGACCTTCTGCTTGTCACAACCCAGGGAGGGGCGCTCCTGGCGGGGTGAGCAGAGGCCAGGGATGCCGCTAAGCCTCCTACAGTGCACAGGATGGCCCCACCACAACACATTTATTCAGCCCTAAAGGTCACCAGTGCTGAGGCAGAGAAACCCTGATCTAAACTTCTTGGTTACTTTGATGAGAAAACTAAGGCCCAAAGACACAAAGTAACATGCCCAAGGTTACACAGTCCAGAAGCCAGAAGTAGAATCCAGTCTCTAGGACATCTGTCTCTATCACCTGTTCTGCTCTATCTAGGGCTGAGTGGGGGAGAAGGAAGGAAGGGACCCAAGGATCTTACTCCCTGTAGCCAACCTGAACCAAATGAAGGAAATTGCAACAAACAAATTGCTGAATTACTGCAACAACACATCAGGACGTCCAAGCTCTGTAAGAAATGCCATATACAAAATTACACCGATACAAAAATTAACTCGAGATAAAGACTTTTGAACCTAAGACCTGACACCATAAAACTCCTAGAAGAAAACATAGGCGGTAAGCTCCTTGACACAGGTCTTGGAGATGATTTTTGGAATCTGACACCAAAAGCAAAAGCAAAAATAAATAAGTCATATTAAAAAGCTCCACAGAGGGCAGCCCAGGTGGCTCAGCGGTTCGCCTTCAGCCCAGGGCCTGATCCTGGAGACCCGGGATCGAGTCCCGCATCAGGCTCCCTGCCTGGAGCCTGCTTCTCCCTCTGCCTGTGTCTCTGTGCCTCTCTCTCTCTCTCATTAACAAATAAAATCTTTAAAAAATAAAATAATAAAAAAATAAAAAGCTCCACAGCAAAAGAATTCATCTACAAAACGAAAAGGCAGCCTGCTGAATGAGAGAAAACATCTGCAAATCATCTATCTGATAAGAAGCCAATACCCAAAATATAAAGAACACAACTCAGCAGAAAATAAAATCTGATCAAAAAATGGACAGATCTAAAGAGACATTTTTCCAGAGAAGATGGACAGATGAACAATGGGCACATGAAAAGACGCTCAACATCACTAATCATCAGGGAAATGCAAATCAAAACCACAACTAAATAACACCACACACCTGTTAGAAGGGCTATTAACAGAAGGACCAGAAATAACAAGCCTTGGCCAGGCTGTGGAGAAAAGGGAACCCTCAAGCACTGCTGGTGGGAATGCAAACTGGTGCCCCCACCGTGGAAAACAGAATGGAGGCTCTTCAGAAAACCTAAAAATAGAACTACCACATGATCCAGCGATTCCACTTCTGGGTATTTATCCAAAGAAAACAAAAACACTTAGCTCAGAAAGATATCTGCCCTGCTGTGTTCACTGCAGCATTATTTACAACAGCCAAGGCAAGGAAAGAATCCGTCTGCGGACGGATGATGGATGAACGGATAAAGAAGATGCGGTACATATTTACAATGGAATATTATTCGGCCCTAAGAAGGAATGAAAGCTTGCCATTTGCAACAACCTGGATGGACCTAAGGGGAAGTCAGACAGAGAAAGTCAAATACCGCGGGGAATCAAGCTCGTAGAGAGCAGATTGGTGGTTGCCAAGGCAGGGGAGAAAGACATTTTTTTTTTATTGAAGCTTCAAGCATGGTTGGATCCAGGGACTTGAAAATAATTAATGAAAAATGAAGATCAGTTACCAGCTAGGTAATGAAAATTGCTAGCGAGCTCCCTGAGAACGAGTTCAGCCTGAAACCGTGCTGGCAAATCCCGTTCATCCCTGACTCCTCCACCAGCGGGAAGTGCAGAGGCCCCCCGCGATGGTTTAACCCCCTCTGGTGTGAGCAGGGTAGCTCCCCCAGGCCTTCAGGACCTGCTCAATTACTAAACATCCGACTGATTTATTAAACAGTAACTAAATATTCCCGGTACCACGCCCAGTGCTGGAGACAGAGGAACGCACAATAAGCACACAAACCCGAGGCTTCGTGGACTTCTTATTCTAGCAGGGACAAACAGACTCGAAACACCATAAATAAGTAAATTATTTAAAAATTTATAAAGAAGAAAGAAACCACAATGAGATGCCATAACTACCTACCAGAATGCTTAATTTTTTTTTAACGAAACTGACAATACTCAAGTGCTGGCAGGGAATCATTTATACACAATAAGACTCAGTCACCTAAAAAAAAAAAAACAAAACACAAAGGGATAACCCCTATGTACCTACTAGCGGGGCTAACATTAAAGAAACAAACAAAACCAAGGTGCTGGCAAGGATCCTCAGCAACTGAAATTCTCATACGTTGCTGGCAGAAATGCAAAACGGTACACCCACCTTGGAAAATAGCCTGGTGTTTTCTTATATAAGCAGAATTCATGAAAACAAGACTACAGCAGCAAAGACACAGCTGTAGAGATACAGACACGAATGTATGGACATATATAGGCGAGGATACGGACAGAGGTACGACTTTGACATTTGGCTCTCTAGATCCAAGTATATGCAAGACTACGTCCCAATATCTTAACCAGCTCGTTTTCTGACATAGCATTAATTTCTCAGAAACATCTTGATTTTAGCAAATGGTAAGTCTCTGACTTCACCCCATCCCCATCCCATTTTTCTTTGCTGACTTCACCCCCCCCCCCATCTCTAGCCCCATTTTTCTCTAAACAGGGCTCACATCCCCTCTTCTCCTTGATGTCTTCTGGATGGCAATCTCACAAAGTTCTAAGTTGGAAGAGAATTCTCCATCGTTTTTATAGCTTTGCCTTACTCCGAAATTAATTGGAAATCGGTTAGAAAATAAAGCAGATGAACTCCAATAAAAATATAATAAAGGAAAAAAAATAAAAATAAATTAAAAATAAAATAAATCAAATACATTTTTTAAAAAAGAAAAGCAGAGGGAGAAGTATATAAATCCCCTCCTTAGAGCCAAAGCTATCTGGGCTGCCTGACAGTAAGCCCACTGCAGGGGGTAAAGAATAAAAACCCTTCCTTATATTATCAACTAAAATAGCATTGCTTTTTAATACTGTCCTCCAACAGTTAGTTACTGGGGAGTCAGATTATTCATGTTGTGTGTTCCAGCACAGTTTACTGATGCCCTAACTTCCAGGGGGGTCACGTTTTACAGAAAACAACGTCACATTCTCCTCCCAAGGGTGCCCACCCGTGTCCTGGCCTCAGGTCCTATTTGAACCAGAGAAAGGAATGTGAGCAGATTAGAATGCTTAACAGAGTCCATTAAAATCCCACCCCCTGTCCGGCCAGAAATGAAAAGTCACCTGACCCCCTCCATCTGCCGCTGAGTCATCAAGCCCCTTCTTCAGCAAGCTAACTATTCAGCACGGGGAATTAAAAAGAACACTGGGAATTCTTCCGTTTGGGTGTTCGCCTCCACCCCACCCCCTTCTAAAAACCATTTTGTTCTTAAGAGATGTAGCTGATCCGCTGTCTCCTACACTCGCAGTTAATCTTCGGGGCTTGCATTTGATTTTATGGATTTGATCGGATTGGATACTGTCATTTTCTCATCTACTTAAGACACCTGGAGGGGGAGAAAATGCATTTCTGACACATCCCCTCTAAAGGCTGGAACCTTGCAAAACAACGCCAAACGACTTACGCTGCACATCTAGCTCTTTAAATTGCTAACCAGTAAGTTCCCGTTCCATTCAGAGCAAAGCAGCTCTTGCTTTAGAAGAAATCGGGCTAAAGACTGAGGACAAACGTCCTGAAGGGGGAATCGGTAAATGTGGCGTTATTTAGGAAGCACAATGACAGCTGGAAAGCAGTGGACAGTTCTCTTGGACCAGCCCGTTTCTCGCTTTATAATGCATGTGTGGGGATCATTCCGGATTTTTTTTCTCGCCGGGGCAAGAGGCCCCGGTCTTCCCGTCTGGCCCCTGCCCACTTTCCCGGATGGGCACGCCAAGCCCGAAGTCACGCGTGGGCCTGCAACACCCCCCCCCGCACCCCCGCCTGGTGCCTGCAGCAGCCGCAGCCGCCGAAGACCCCACTTTCGCTTTCTGGGGCGCCGACGGGCTGCGGGCCTGCAGGCCGGGGTGCGCCTGCAGCGTGGGCGCCGCGCGTCCCTTACCTGCAGTGCCGCATGGCGCATCCCCGCCGCCCACCTGCACGGCATCCTAGAGCATCCTTTCTTCGGCGCGACGGCTGCGAGCGCGGTGACGTCACCGGGGGCGGGCCCCACGCTGCCACGTGACGCCCTCGGGGCGAGGCGGGGAGGGGGTGGGGGGCGAGGAAGACCCTGGACGTCCCGGGAGGTGGGGAGCGAGCGGCCGGGGAGCAGCGCTCCCGCGCCCCTTCCGGGCAGCTCGCTTGAGGAGCGCGGCGTGCCCAGGCGTTCAGCAACTACGGGGAAACAAACAGCACAGAGGGCGAAATCCGAGTGATTACAGGCTCCGAGCACGTAATTGGATTTCAAAAGAGTTAGCAATAAAGGGATTAGTAATGAAAGGGAACAATTTGGTGTCTTAGTTTTCAAAGTCTTCATGAGATGCAACGGAGAAACATATTTTGTGCAGATCCAAGTGACAGGTAAAATATAAAGTGTCTGGAAATACCCTGCATAGAGGTTCAGGGTTTCAAATTATGTAGCAAAGATACCAAATACTGTAATTTGAAGCATATTCCTTATGGACCATTAGGCTATTCGCGCTGATGAATAATGCTTTTATTTACTCTCAACAGCTACTTTCTACTATTGAATTTGTATTTGCCAAAGGTAAAAAAAAGGGATGCCACATAGTTCTACTGCTTACTCGAGTATTTATTTAAAATAAAGCACTAATGCATGAGCATGGTTGTACTCGTGTCAGTGGTTTTTTTTTAACGTTGTGGCCAGGAATTTGATGTCTCAGAGACATGAAAGAGTTAATTCATAATAACTCTGTAACATTGTTTCACGCTTTTTAATTTTTATCACATTCTGCAGAAGTGAGTCATCTTACTATTACAGAAAACACGCACGATGTCAACATTTCCCATTCACAACTCAAAGCCTTCCCTAGAAAGCCTCAGAAAGTTCCAACAGTGGTCATGTCCATTCGAAATGGCATATTTCAAACGTAAGCAGTGAACCCAATGCAACTTTCCTCTGCCAAGCCATAGACACGGCTTTGAAATGTGAAAGGACAAGAGCAGAAACTGGTCGCACTTGTATTCCAGTTTCATACACTGGTTCACTTTCCAGAGTTTCAATCACGATTTTTCACCGGGCCTGGCCTCCTGGCCGCCGAAAGAGACGTGAAATAGGTTGTTTCGCAAGCAGCCAGGAGTTACCTACTTGCTATTTATTGCGGCGGCTTTCGCGTCCTTCTATATTTAACCAGGGCCCTTCTCCCACCATTCCCTCCGGATTAAGCACATCTCCGCTCGGGAGGTCTCTAATTCGGGGCACGGATACGGGCCCTCTGCCCCTCACAGCGATCTACCATCATTTTCTGCACCGGACTTCAAAAGCCAACAATGTGGCCGTGTGCTTTTTCTAGGTCACTCGTCCCAGGCTGATTTTTCTAGGTGGTGAGCGACTTACCTTCGGCTTTCCGGTTCCCGAGCTCTAAAGTTTCAAGCGCGACCGAAACCCCCGGCTCCGGGGGCTCAGAGTCTCGCGGAGGCGGAGCCCGAGCGCCGCGCTCTCCGGCCCGGGCAGGCGTCGGCCTGGCCCCGGCGCCCCGGGCGGCCCCGCCCCCGCCCCGCCCCCCGCGGAGCCCGGCCGCGCCGTCACGTGCCGGGCCCCGCCGCTCGGCCCCGCCCCGCGCGCGGCCGCCGCTCGCCTCCCGGGGGGACCTGCCGCCGCGACCCGGGCGATCGGGCGGCGGCGGCGACGGCGGGGGTCCCCAGCGCGGCCTTCCGCGGCCGTGGAGGCGCCGTCCTCCCTGCGGGGCGCTGCTGCTTGCGGGTGGCTTAGCTTGGCCTCCTCTTGCAGGGCACGCTCTAATGTGAAAAACCAGGAGGGCGGGCGGGCGGTTCAGGGAAGGCCTAAGACGGACGTGTCGTTCCGCACGGCGTGTGGGGACTGCTGTCAGAGGTTCCCAATAGCCAGGCTCAGACCCGTGAGTCAGCAGCGAGAGAGAGAGAGAGAGAGAGAGAGAGAGAGAGAGAGAGAGAGAGAGACGCAGAGACAGACACAGAGAGAAGGAAAGGGAAGGGAAGGGAAGGGAAGGGAAGCAAAAACAGGGGGAAAAAAGAAAAATTACTGTGCACACACCAGAAGTTGGCAGACCCCGACACTCAGCCCGAAATGAGGCTCAAGGGTGCCCCTGTTAGTGACAAAGCTGCCACTGTTCATTCTTCGCACTGATTAGTGACAATAATTACGATTTTCAGTGGTTACCAAGTCCTTTATCAACTTTGGGAAGCGTTCAAGCTTTGCTTCTCATTTCCAGACACGTGAGCAAGGAGTGACCAGGTCCACTAAGCCTGGCAGCCGAAGCCGAATCAAGCCTCGCCTGCGTGACCAAACCGGGTCTTTCTGCTCAGGGACCCCGCAAGGTGGGACTCGCTTTGTTTCTGATTTTAACAGCCCCTCCCCACGTCTGGGCCCTTCTCTCAGCAGGCTCAGGGCAGGACCAGCCTTCGCAGCATCCTCCTCCTCCTCGACGTGCTGGGTGCAGTCAGGCGGCAGGATCACACACTTGCTGTTTCCATTAGTTGAGTCATATGTAATGCACTACAAAGGTCAGTATGATTATAGGGAAAACAACAGGCAAGGATTGAAAACTTCCCCAGAGCAGAGCTACCCGGGAGCCAAGGTTTCACCAACCAAATAAATCCCAATGGCTTATAATCAGATTCAGCTTTCACCTAAGTCAATCTGCAAAAGAACTTTTAAGGTTATTTACACAGGCACAACCTGATGTATCAGCAAACACGGAACCTCGTGAAGGCCAAGGCTGAACTTGAGGAGGTTGTGTTTCAGGAGGCGGGCTTCCACCTGAATCAGGCTTCCATACAATGTGAGCAATCGGGTTATTTTATTTTTTTTGAAGATTTTATTCATTTATTCATGAGACACAAAGAGAGGGAGAGGCAGAGACACAAGCAGAGGGAGAAGCAGGCTCCATGCAGGGAACCCTACGTGGGACTCGATCCCAGGTCTCCAGGATGCCCTGGGCCAAGGGCAGGCGCTAAACCGCTGAGCCACCCGGGCTGCCCTAACCGGGTAATTTTAATGAGAGGCATTTCTATGGAAACAAAAGAAAAACATGAATAGTTTAAGCAAATTAGAAATTCCATTTTCTGAGTTTGCAGAGTGGTCAGTTGAGAAAATTTCTAAAAGTCGGATTCTAAGTATCTTTAGGCAGAGCACAAACAGTGCGGGCGGGCAATCAGATCGTCCTGTTCGCAGTGTCAGTGTCCCCGGTGATCTCTCTGAGGGGCTGCACAGCTGCAGGCACAAAGAGCCGCACATGGGCTGCTGTGACTTCTTTGAAGTTTTTATCAAGTTGTCCAGTTGCAGCCTGCAGGGTTTCGGGGAAAAGGCAGGCTTAGCCTCAGAGTGATTCCAAGTGAAAATAGTGGGAGAAAATTGGAAATGCTAGGCTGCAGGGTTTTAGCCAAATATTGGAGGAAGTTAGAATTCAGGATCCACTCCAGTTTGCGGGTAGAAAATAAACCTCAGATGATCAACGGCACTAGAATCTAAAATCCACAAGGGTGTGTTACTGAAACATAATTTTCTCTCCATAATCATTTCCATCAAAGACAACCATGGCAAGACTAATTTGTTTTGCAAATTAAGTCGACTTTTAATAAACTTGGCCTGATTATTTCTGAGTGCAGCAAAAATAGTGATGGATCATGCTCTTTCACATCCTTTTAAATCTGCAAACAAGACATTAATGAACCAGCAATATTTTAAGTGAAGTTATAAAAAACTCTAATTATCTTCATTAGTTCCTTTGGTCTCCTGTAATTAATTCTTGTTGATCTCAATCTTTTGTTATTTGATGAATTCATCACTTTTCCATGAAAGCTTTAGAAATTCTTACCCAGTTCAGTGTTAAGATCTTAAGGTCAGCAGAGACCTGTATTCTATAGGGTGCTTGTCAGGGTCTTTTTGAAGAATCTCCTCAAAGATAAAGCACTTTTGCAGGAACATTTTTGCAAAAGCATCAGAATAAAACAATGACTACCTTTAAATGACAAAAGACTTAAAAACTGGCAATGGCTAAAGATCAGATGAGAATTCATTATAATGCAATTGACAAGAAAATTTGGTTATTTCTCCAATGTGCAGTATTTTAAGACAATGACTGGACTTATGGCTGATAACACTATGTCAGTACATCAGATTCTCATGAATTTCATATAATTTCAGGAATGTTTACATTAATAACTTCCATGTAAATATTTCCTAAAGAAAGCTTAGCATCACTTCTTATTTTACAATGCTTCCTGTGAAATTTAACATAACACTAAAAACTTATTTGAGTGGGATCCCTGGGTGGCTCAGCGGTTAAGTGCCTGCCTTCGGCCCAGGCCCAGGGTGTGATCCTGGGGACGGGGGTTGGAGTCCCATGTAGGGCTCCCTGCATGGAGCCTGCTTCTCCCTCTGCCTGTATCTCTGCCTCTCTCTGTCTCTCTCATGAATAAATAAATAAAATCTTTAGAAAATGTAAAAATAAATTTTAAAAAACCTATTTGAAAAAACTTAGCTTTTTACATAAGTTTGCTTAACTAAACCTGATAAAGACAAAACACAGAATCTTTGTTTTCTAGGCAGGTTACATTGAAGGTAAAGAAAAACCTTTGTTTGCAATTTCTTATTAAGTGCAGACCGAAAAAAAACAAAACAAAAAAAAAAAACAAAGAGCAGACCAATAACTAAGAAAACTTTGTCCTTTGAACAGAGAGAAAACCAAATTCTAATTTTGCACCACGGTACTTTTGATATTAAATTTCTCCCCTTTTTTTTCTTTTTAATTTAAATAAATCCAGGGTACCTGGGTGGCTCAGTGGTTGAGCATTTGCCTTTGGCTCAGGGCGTGATCCCAGGTCCTGGGATCCAGTCCCACATGGGCTCCCCTCAAGGGTCCTGCTTTTCTCCCTCTGCCTATGTCTCTGCCTCTCTCTGTGTGTTTCTCATGAATAAATAAATAAAATCTTTTTTTAAAATTTCAATAAATCTATTTTAATCTCTGCTTTGCCACACATAAGATTCCTCTCTCAAGATCCCTTTTCTGCAAACCTTCTACAACTTTCTATATCCATTTGGGTTTTGTCCTTTTTTCTTTCTTATTCTGAAATAACGATTTTCCTTTAGGATGAAATTACTTTCTTTTTTCCCTTTACCAAAAATGCATCTCCATTCCTCATACCTGCTTTTACCCAAAACACACCTCCTACTTTTCATATACAGCCATTTTCTTTCATCCTTATTGTTTCTAGTGATTCTGTAAAAAAACAAAAAACAAAAACTAAGCAAACGAAACCCCCTTTTTCCTGACAACCTCAGCTTTATTAGTTCAGATGTTACCTCCTTGATTTCAAAGACTTACAAAGCTTATCTAGGAAAGGAATGGCCCAAAGCTGGCACTAGGTATTAATTATAGATGTACTCAGAGAGGGTGGCACAGTCGCCTCTGCACTACGTTAAGTGAATAATACATCCTTTTTTTTATTATTTTTTATTATTTTTTATTTTTTTTAATACATCCTTTCTGTGTAACACAGTTAAAACAAACCATAGGCTTTTTGAAAATTAGAGTATAAGATTCACTCGCGTCCCCTGACATGGCTCTGTGAGCCTGGGGACCCTATGACAGGCAGGGGCGGCAAGATGCCCACATTACTGAGGAAGGCGCTTGCTCTAAGCTGAGCAGAGTAACAATCTGGAAGATGGGACAGCTAGGTCTAAGCTGATGGCAGGGTTGTGAATTATTGGGAACCACAATTCAGAATTCCCGGCCTTGCAAGTAGTTACGGGAAATAGGGGAAGGATTTTTTTAAATGATTTTTTCTTCCTCCCCCCCCCCATTTTGTTCTTCTTTTACGTTTCTTTTCTTTTTTTTTTTTTTTTTCCAAGGGTGGTTGTTCTTGTACTGGCCTTTTCAGCTGGCCACGCAGACTCTTCCATGGCTCAAGAGTGGTGGCTTTCAAACACGTTGGATCATTCCACAGCAAGAAAGAGAGTGTATATTCCGGCCCAGCCCATACTTACACATATAAAACCACCTAAAATAAAAGCTTAATGAACTGGGGCACCTGGGTGGCTCTGTCGGTTGGGCATCTGCCTTCCTCTCGGGTTATGATCTCAGGCCCGGGGTCCCAGGGTCCTGGGATCGAGCCCCATGTCGGGCTCCCTGCTCATTAGGGGAGCCTGCTTCTCCCTCTGCCTCTGCCTCTGCTTGTGCTCTCTCACTCACTCTCAAGTAAATAAATAAAATATTTTTTTAAAAAAGCTTAATGAACTAACACGTATTTCCCATTTTGAGTATGATATGCATTCACTCTTTTGCACTTTATGAAATTACCTTTTTCTTTACATACGGATAATCAATCCATCCATAAGCCCAACTATACATTAGAGACAAAATTGAAGATATATAGGATCCACTTATCTAGATAGCTGTAGATCATACGTGTATTTTCTATTTAAATAAATGCTAATGCTCGCCCACCAAGGGTCTGTGAGCACAGTTTCAGAAACCGGAAATTATGGTAAATC